CTGAAACACTTTGGGCACCCTGAAAAGGGCACGTTTTCTTGGTGTGGAAGTTGATGAAGGCAGCTCCCCAGCACTTTGCTTTCTGGCGTTGATCTTCTTGGTAATTGTTCTCTTAATGTTTTGTTTCTTGGTGTTTAAGGTAAACTCAGATTTAGCGTAAGGATTTGTTCTAAATGGGAAAAACGGAGTTTCCTTGTCTAAAAAACTGGAGCTTTTAAATGGTTTTAGAACTTTTTCCAGTTGTTTCAACCCTGGAGCGACATTTTGCCATACTCAATGGTCTTTGCAAAAGCCTAAATGAGTAATTGTTTCTGTCAGGTTCCAGGAGGAAAGTATTGAGATCAGCATTTTTTCCCCTCGGTTGGAGCAAACATTTTGGATGTGAGATAGTTTTATGGGTCATTGAAAACACAAAAGAATCATCTCAACTGTTATCAGGGCAATGGTACAAAACATGGACCCTACTCTTACCCTGTTGTGACCTTGCTGTGAGTCCTGTGGTTTAGCACAGAGGATGCTGCTGTCATGTTGTGGTCGGTGCCCCCATGTTGCTAAGGAAAGGCAGTCAGAGGTTGTGAGCAGCCATGTTGCACGTGGAGGTCAGTGCTCCCTGCCTACTCCTTCCAAGTTCTCCACTTGGATGAATCCCTTCAGGCATGCTGTGCCAGCCCTCTCCATCTCAGTGATACCCGTGAGCATCTCTCAGATGTGTTAAACCCAGTTAGGTTCTGTTTGGTGGGATTAACACTCTCACTGTGCCTTCATGGTTCATGTGCAGCAGCAATGTGGCATCTTTCTAGAGGCATGCAGGAAAATGGAGCAGCTGCACACGTCATGGGTGCCCCTTGGAGAGCTGAAGGCCATGGGTTTTTTGGTGCCATTTTAATTCCTCACAGCAGCAAGCCCTGACCTGTTGGTAGGAGGTTCCTGGTACTGCTCTGATGCCTGCTTAAAAGTAAGTGGTGTTCTTTTAAGCCTCAGGTTTCCCTCTGGTTTGTGTGAGGAGCACGTTTCCTTCCCTGGGTTTGACTTGCAGCCTCTTCTGCCAGCACATCGTGTCCCAGCTGGCTGCAAGAACGGGCTCTCCTCCCTTCCCGGTGAGCTCTGCCTGATGGATCTGCTGCCTTCCAGCCTGCATCATTCTTCTGCAGGTCTGTCTGTCACCTGCCTGGGCATTGCTAAATCCGTCCTGGAATGAACACCTATTTGTCAAGTGAAATAGGAAGGTTTGAGTCTCCCGTTCCCCAAGGCCACTTAACAGGGCTCTGGCTGCTCTCCGGACACTCGCTGTTCTGCGCCGGCGTGGCATGAAGAAGATGAAGGCCATGAAGCTCTTCTGCCCGATGTCATTGCCACCCTGAGCCCCCATGGCAAGCACTGCATGTGTCTTGTGTCCCCCCTCACCCTGGAAAGGTGTTACATGCCCTGGGTTTACCTTCGGTGCAGCGACGTCTGTGGTCCGCACGCTGTTGCCTCATTCCTTTGTGCTTCTCTGCAGCGACCCACTTATTGACTAGGAGTGTAATTGTGCTGCATCATGTCTAATTGCTTTGCTCTGTCGCTCTCCATTTGCTTTCTCTGTCTGCACCCTCCCCGCTCCCCTCCGTAAACGTGCCGAGCTGCGAGCAGGGCACGAGGCCACACTCCTGATTGCTGCAGGAAAAAAAGGCACCCAACTTCCTCCTTTCTCCTCCTAAATTCAAATGACAAGAAACAGAGGAAAACAATTTTGCACACCCTTGGCAGAGGGCCAGCTCTGATAAAGAGCCGTAATTAATCTCCTCAGCTTTATTAGAATATCATTACAATTAACTCAGCAATCTTCTGTTGATCAAAGCCATTGTTCCCTGCAGAGCAGAGGAAGCCAGCGTGAGCCTGGTTTGTGCAGTGCTCAAAAGCACCTAGAGCTGGATCATTCCTGCCAGCCCAACAGCAGCACAAGGACGGGCAGAGGGGTGGGCACAGACCTCTGTCCTCATCCTGGCTCTTTGATTCTCTCCAGCTACTCTTCTTTGTTGGGCTATTATAGCCCAGATCCCTCATGGGCATCGGGGTGTCCCTTATTCCCAGTGTAGATGCTTTTGGGTCCAGCTTTTTTAAGCACGGGGTTCATGGCTTTGTGTTTTCATACAGCTCTTCACTTGTCTGCTTCTTAGTCTCAGCTGGAGACATGGTGGCTGCTACAATAATATAGCTAACAGCAGCATAGCAGGTAAAGAAACCATTTGTGGAAGCCACGTTTGAAAGGAAGGACAGTTATCAGAATGAAGCTTCATAAGCTCTACAGTTAAATAGCCCAAGATGTGTGCTATAGAAAAGCAGAGAAAATGAGCACTGTTAAACTACCCCTTTCCTCCTTTTCAAACTGCTCTTTTAATATCGGGTATTTATCTATAATTTAAGCCCATGATTAGTTTTATCAAAAAGATAGTTCTGAGGCAGAGATCTTAAAAATGATTAGGTGTGTGTTTGAAAGACAAGAACAACTCCACTTGCACCATAGGATAAAGATGTAGCTGTTTGCTGCCTTGAGCATCCATCTGTGAGGGCCTTGTGCCAGAAGGAACCTCCTGATTCTACACAGATCCCACCCCAGTCTTTCAGGGCATTTCTCAGTCTCTCTTGAAGATGCCAGAGCCAGACCCCCTTGTCACTGGGCAAGACTGTTGGAGAAGGCAGTGCTGAACCTCACCAGTCGGTCTGCCTGGGAAGGGTGGTTACGTGAAGGTGTTTGAAGCCCTCACTCATGTTTTTTGTGCTAAATTCTCATGTTTGAATTGCCAGCACTTGTGAGCCCTTGCAAAAAGAGAGAAGGAAAGGCAGGTCCAGGGTTGGATCTGATCCACCTTGGCGTTGTCCCTGTAAGCAGCCACCCAGGAGAAGGAAGCAGTGGCTCCAGCCCATGTGCTGGTGCAGGTGCAGCTACAGCAGCCCTGCCTGCTCTGCCCAGCTTCACTTGCTCCCTGCAGTACTTATCTCATCAGAGGTGGAATAAAGGGGCTCAGCATGGCTCTTCTCAGGGTGCAGCCCTTTCCCAGTCCCTGAACCCTTGGACAAGGGAAAACTGAACTTTTTCATCTTACCCTTGTCCTTGGGTATCGCAAGGGAGCCTCCTGTGGGTGATGGATGCTCAATACCTCACCTCTCTGGACCACTGGGGATGAGGGTTAGGTTTGCTTTCCCAGCACAGCTTTGCCAAGGCCTCCAGTATGGGTGCAGAAGCATACAACCCTGCAGTCTGCATCAGGGACCTGATGCTGAAACAGTGCTGGGGTTCGACATAGGTCTCTTCCCACCTCTCTTCTCTCCCCCTTCTGTGCGTCTGAGGCACTAGAAAACCCTAAGAAAAACAAAACAAACCCATCAGTGCCGTAAAGCCCGTGGCAGGGGTTATGGTTTCATGTAAAGTGCCATAGTCTCCAACAGGTCCTCTGCTGCTCAGTCCCTAACAGAACTTGTCCTTTCCCATCATGGCTGCCAAGGACAGGAAGGGATGCTCAGCCTGGGCTGAGCAGGTGCAGAGGGAGCAGGACCTGGGGAAGCTTTTCTGCAGGGCTTAAAGCAATGCTTCCCTCCCCAGGCCCTACCCCACCTTCCCCGGGATGCAGCAAGCACTGCTGCTCCACACGGGGCTGGGGACATTAGTCAGGCTGCTCTGAGTGAGACGCAGGGGCTGAGTGTCAGGTTGTTATTAAATACCATTAGTAAGTGACAAAACTGTGTGGAGCACTTCAGGTGCAGACAGTGGCTGGAGGAGGGAGTGCTTGCAGTGCCGGGGAGATGAGCGAGTGGTGAAGGTCACAGACACCTCATTCTGGGCTGCCTTAGACCCCGTCTCCTGCTCACCACCTTGAGGAGGCAGGAGGGACGGTGTTCACATGGGGGGAGATGGGGGTTTGCAGGGAACCCCTGCATGTCACAAGGGGACTTCAACATGCCCCAGTGTGGAGTCCTGTGCAGCCCCCATAACCACTTCCTCCTCTTGTAGCACCCTGTTCTTTAGGGGCTCCAGTATGGGGCAGGGCAGACCCCTGCCCATCATAGTTGAGCTGCCAGGGGAAAGCCCATTTTAGCATCTCTTCTACCCAGTGGAAGCAACTGGAAAGGGAAACGTTCAGATGTTTTTCTTGCTGTTTTCCATGCTTGGTGCTAGCTTTCCCCTGGAGGGAGCTGGAGATGATGGACCATTGAGGAGGCAATGCCTGAACCAACAGCTCTGGGAAGCTGCCTGCTTGCTTTGATGCCTGGCTAGCTGTGGAGCTCTGGTGTGGAGCTGGCTTCAGTAGCCAAAAAAGCCAGAAAGCACTTGCCTATGGTGCTTGAGGTGCCTAAGGGGTGAGATGGAGGCAGAGGCACCTCTGGTGAACGTGCCTGGAGTGGGAGCTGAGGGATGGTGATGGTGATGATCTGCTTGAAGCAATCGCAGACCGTCAGCAGAGTGGAGAGCCACTTCCTTGTGTTTATTTAAGGCGAGATGCCCTAGTTTCATGCTTTCAGTGGAGTCCCTAATTATTCCTCAATCTTTGTAGTGAGCTAATTAGTTTTGCAGCACTCAAGGCTGGGGAACACTGATAGGCTTGGGAAGCACAAGCTGGAGGGACGAGGAAGAGCGGAGAGCTGGTGGGAGGTGGCTGACTGGCAGAGGGGAATGGCTGGGAGCAGGGCAGGGGTTGGAGAGCCTATGGATTATGGTCTGGGAAGGATAATGGAGGAGGGAAGAGCTGTAATTTCATGTCGTGTAGCATGCTGGAGTGTAACGATGTGGGGAAGAGTGATGGAGTGGTAATTGAGGGGGATGGAGAGGTAGGGGAGGGAGCGGGAGGGATGGTCCATGGGAAAGCAGCCGCAGAGCTCAGGAGGTGAGATCCTGCACAGAGGGGTGCACAGCACCACACAAGGCAGGGCAGGAACTGTCCTTTGAGTGGGCACTGCCTGTCCTGGGGTGCTGCTGACTCTTGCAGGACCAGCAGCATTTCCTGACTGCCCCATCTCTTTTCCAGCTTAACGGAGATTCTGAGGAGCTCTGGGGGAGAGGCCACATGGAGCAGCTGCTCTCCAAGCTGGGTGCTCACCTCCCCATCCATCACAGCTGCTGCTTTTGGAGAGAGCCACCACAGATCAGGTAACCTGCACCGATAACTGGCTCCATGATGCTCCCACGTCCGCAGTCTGCTCTGTGTGCATGGACACCTCACTGCTTTGACAGCAGGGTTGTGCACCAGAGCCCACGCTCCACATCTGCACTGTGAGCCCGAGGAGCACAGAGGTCTCATTGCTGTTCCTGCTGCCACTGGGAAGTTCCCAGTGGCCACTGAGTGCAGTGTGTGACAACTCTGAAGTGCCCAGGTGGCTGTGGATTTATTAGGGCATTATCCTACTAGTGCCGCAAATGGTGTCATCTGTCTTCTAAACTTTGCACTTTATTTCAGGGGGAGAATTGAGTATATCCAGGCAATATGCTGTAGTTTTAGCATATGATAAAGCCCTGCTGGGAAGTGTAGTTTTATTGACTTTGTTATTAAAGTGCCACTGGAATAAATTTGCTCATTTGAATGAAATGTCTTATTACCTGGGTCGTAACAGGCACATGATGAAATCTCTGGAGGGGCTGGAGCTACCCGCAGCCTAGTGATGGGGAGCTGAGATGGAGCAGCTGCCAGGGACCCACAGCTGTCACCCCGAGACCCTCAGCACCCGCCTGGCTCTGCTGGAGAACTGTTTGGAAACCTCAGGATGGGAACAAGCCGCAGTGGCAGGGGGCACTGTGTGTTAGTCGAGGTTTGCATTGTTCCTCTAATCCTTTGCTCAGGTAAGGATGTGGTTTTAAAGGGAGTTGAGGAAAAATCTCTTTCACAGGGCAGTATTTCTTTAGCACCAACAGTAATGGGGGTGGATGGGGAAATGAACCGTTCCCCATTACACTGGAACCTAACTGCACAGCCCATGCTTTCCAGTTAAAATTTGATTGCCTCAAATCCTGTGTATTATGGAAAATAAGAAAAAGGCCTAGTAAAATTTATGGGTTTTAATCATAAACCGATAGAATCACAGTAAATCTGTCATAAGCATGCAGATACAGACCCAGGAAAAATAGGGAGGAAAGCAATAGCTCTGCTTTTTTCCTGGAGGAGCTGCATGTACCCATGGCAGGGTCAGAGAGATGGGGAGGGGGGGGAAGAGAGGGAATGAGAGGGGGAAAGGAGGAAAGGAGGCAAAGCCCAAAGGTCTTTCTGCCTGCCCCTTTGTACCACTGTGCTGCTCGCTGTGGAAGGAGCAGGGTGAGATCCTGCCAGGGGAGGAGGGAGGAATGTCTGTGCAGAGAGGGGGCTGTGAGGAGCACACAGAGATGTGGCGGGGAGAGAAGAGCCCTTGAGAGAGGAATGGCAGCAGAGAGACAGGGAAGCGCAGGAGGCAGAAAGTATTTTAACAAATAAAAGGGAGTGAGCGATAAGGAGAGAAAAAAGGGAGAGAATAAAAAATTGGCTCTGAAGCAGAGATAAGAGGGGGAGGGCAGGTAGAGAGAGAAGAGGAAAGTGAAGCACGATAAGGCCTGATGGAGATGGGGGAAGGCAGCAAGTTCTGGTAGCGCAGCTGGGGTATGTGGGTAGAGAGCAGGGGGGGCTGTGGGGTGCCATGGGCTGAAGAGTCAGGCTGAACCCCTCTCCTCTGGTCACCTCACCCCTGTGTGGGGAAAGGTGTCAGTCTCACCCCGGCCTTTTGACCTGCTGATCTAAGGAGAGGGGCTGAGCAGGCACAGGGGTTGATGGGGGGGCAGAGAGTCAGGCAGCAGAAGTTGAGAGCCAGGCACAGCCCTTGGCGTGTCCTGGGTGGGGGGGAAATGTGGAGCTTGGTAGGGAGGAAAGTTCCTGGGGTGGGCTGGAAGTCCTGAATAACCCCTCATTGCCCTCGCTGCTGTGTACCAGCACAGGGTGCCTGCCATGGAGATCCCCACAGGGCTCCCAGTCTTGGAAGCAGAGGAGGTAAAGGTGTGTTTCCCCTCCATACCCTAAACACATCTCTTCCTGGGTTTTTCTGCTACCTCTTTTAAGCTGTTTTGTAAGTGCTGCTTTGTATTTATCCTTATTCAAAAGAATGAAAAGTGCTGTCTGGCTCTGACACGCAGCCCATGGTTACCTGAAGAGCAATGCCCCTGCTTTCTCACCCCTGATTAAACTGCAATAGAAACATACTGTACATTTCAACAAAGGGAAGAAAGGGAGTTTATTCCTTAGCTGTGTTTTTTTCTCCCCATCTTTACCAGCCATGAAAATGGCTGTGCTGAGATGCTGGCCACTCTGAGATGCTTTTCTTCCTCTCCATCCATCTGCTTTAACCACATGGTGACTGAAAAGAAATAAATTATCCAGCTCACAAAGCACCGAAGATTAAAGAATTGGTGTGGATAATAAACTGTGCCGCAGCAGCGGTGCCACAGAGCATCGGGCAAGCTCGCTAAGGAGAGGCTCTGAGCTGCAGCTTGGATGTGGGGCAGGCAGCAGGGCTTCCCCCAGGAGGGTTTTGAGTAGCAGAGATGGGGTCTGAGGGGCATGTGGGGGTCTGGATGGGCAAAACCCCTGTGCTGGCACAGCCTGATATGTTGCACATGAAAGGGAATCATTTTCTCTCCCCTTTTCATTTTTTAAAGCTTCTTTTTCTAAGAGTGAAAGACTTGAATCCTCCCTTTGATTGCTAGGATGCTGCAGTGTGCTGCAAATATGTTGTTGGACTCGGTTATTAGTATTTTGTTCTCTTAAATCTGTGTGTGTTGAATTAGCTCTTTTAATTACAGCATTAAGGAAGGATAACTGGAGTCAATTAAGAAGCTCTCTCTGACTGCCAGTGTTCAGAGCTGCCCAGCATCACAGAGACCCCCCTCCACCTCTCAACAACTGATTGAGTTATTGTCCTTTCTGGCAACAACCCTCCAGAGGGCTGAGGCTGTGGTGCATCCCAGCCTCTCCCAGGGGATCACAGCTCCAACCTGGTACTCGGGATCCCTGGAGCAGGATGTAGGGTGCAGATGGAGCCCAGCATGCCTGCCTGCAGCACCAGGCTGAGGTTGGTGCGTTGCTGTTTGTGGTTTTGTATGTAGCTCACTGAAAATGTTGGATAAACACCAGTGGGAGGGGAAGCTGCAAAGAAACATTTTTGCTTTGGCTCTTTTAAAAAGCAAAACAAAAGCAAAAAGGCTCTTAAAAAAAACCTGTTTTGGTTTCAGAGTTGTAAAGGAAAGATGGGTTAGAGATGAGAAACTAACAAATCAAAGCTCCTGAAACCCGCTGTGGAGAGAGAAACACAAAATGTTTTGTTTGAAGATGAATAGAAAGCTGAAACCAGCAAAAAACATCCCCACTCCCCACGAGCACAGATGTTTCAGGTTGGTTCTTCGAGACTGGCGCGGTGCTGGAAGGAAAGCAAATCCATTCTTTTTCCTGTCTGCGCTCCAGGTTCCTGACGCATATTTTTTATCATCTTGTGTAGTGGCTTTGATCCCTGAAGACTCCTTAAGTGCTTTACAAATCAAGCATGCAAATCCCAGCTCATCCACCTCGGAGATGCTGCCGAGGCCGGGCTGGCTGGGAAGCTGCGGGCCAGTGAGGTGCCACCGGTCCTGGTGGTGACAGGACCTCAGTGATGCTTATAAAAGCCTTTAGTGCCCCTGTTGCCACTGTTTGCAGGGATGTTCTGTTCTTGTGCTGGGCTCCCCAGGCCATGGTGTCAGCCCTGTCTCTCCCATGGAAGGGCTCCAGGGAGGGCTGGCTGTGGCCTTCACCCTCTCTGCACCCTCTGAGGGCTGGCAAGTTGGCACCAACCAACTGGGGAAGGGTTGAGCTGCTCTGATGATGCTTCTCTATATTCAAAGCTTGAGTTGAGATACCTCTTTGCCCATTGCTGTCTCTTTAATTTCACTCCTTCCCTCTGGGGCTGTCCTCCTGACTTGCTCCTTGTAATTCACCTGCTGTACACCCACTTCCATACTGAAGCTGTCTCACTGATGTAGGTAGCTGGTCTCTGGGCAGGGTGGCACCCACACTGGCCAATTTAACCCCCGTTCCTCCCCTTTTCCTCACTGAGACAATACAAACCTTCCAGACCTCCTGATCCCAAGTACCAGAGCTCTGCAAAGGGAGATTGCTTCCTGATGACCAGACACCATGGTGATGGGCAAGCTGGAGTCTAGCACCAGGGCAGCCAGCGTGTTACAGCCTGCAGCTCCTCCCTGCTGCAAGCCCTGTGCTTGGCTCAGGCTGTGCTTTGTTTATAAACAAATGTAATTTTAGGGTTTTTTTAGACAAGGTCTCCTGCAAGCCTGGAAGTTAAATTCCCTTGGGCATGCCCAAGGGTGCTTGCTAGCCTGGCTGCCAGTGAGTCAGGGCCAAAAACCACCATAGAATGATTTGTGTTGGAAGGGACCTTAAAGCTCATCCGTTCCCAGCCCCTGCCATGGGCAGGGACACCTTCCACTAGAGCAGCTTGTTCCAAGCCCCTGTGTCCAACCTGGCCTTGAACACTGCCAGGGATGGGGCAGCCACAGCTTCTCTGGGCACCCTGTGCCAGCGCCTCAGCACCCTCACAGGGAAGAATTAATGACCATGAGAATTATTAGAGGCAGGTGTGGAGCAGCACTGGAGCTGCTGGGTGCCAGGAGCCAGGGGCAGCCGTGCAGCCGGGGCAGGCAGGGAACTGCCTGCTTGTGCTGGCAGCAAAGGTGCTGATGGAATTGCAGCATCCCTGCCTGCAGGGACAGTGTTCCTAGCACAAAGGGCCAGCTTGTGCTCCATCAGAGAGGTGACACCATGGTGCTGCTGGCAATGGTGGGCAGCAAGTCCTCTCCCCACCTAAGAGGCAGCAGGATCTCCAGGTACCCCCAGCACTGCCAGGCAAAACCCAGTCCCACTGGCTCTCAGCCCAAAGGCCATGGGCACAGTGAGCTGCTGCCTGCCCCGTGACGGGCCTTTGTGCCCTCCTTAGCACACAGAGGACAAACACACTCAGCCCTGTGCTGCTGCACCCCAGCACTGTCCTGCTTCCCCGGCCTTTGGGGTGGGCAGGAAACCACGACAGGTCCTCGGGAGCAAAAAGCAAACTCCTCTCGATGCTGTGCAGGCCCTATGACCCCTTTGGTGGGGTGCAAACCTTCGGTGTCGGTGGGATTCTCACCCTGGCCTGAGGCTGTTCTTGGTGTGGTGGCAAGGAAGGGAGTGCTTGCCAGGTATGGAACTGGACAGATCAAGAAGTCAAGATTTTGCATTCCAACTATCTATAGGAAATAGGGTTTTTTTTATTATTTCAAGTTTTCATAAAAATCCATAATTATTGAAATCAAAGTTACAGAATAAAGTTCGTAACTTTTTATTGATTTTATTTCTTGGGGTTCTTTTTCTTTCTTCCCCCCTCCCCCCCATTGTTTTTCCCTCTCAGAGTTATATCTGACACCAGAGTCCATCAGACAAAGTCCTTACAAACACAGGAGTCCTGAAGACATCGGCTGAATGTTTTTCCTGGTATAAAGAAGAAGGGGAGGAGGAAGAGGTGGTGACAGTGCGGATGCAGTGGACGGGGGCTGAGGACGTGGTGGAAGGAGAGAGGTCGGTATGTTTGTAGCAATGTTTTTCAATTATTTATTTTGTTCATTTGTTCTCTTTTTAAAAAAACAAAAAAACAAAAACCAAACCAACCAACCCACCATTATTATTTGCAAACTGTTGCCTGGTTTAAATCATTTTCATGTTGAACTTGCGCGGCGCGTCGGCAGAGCTAATGCCCGCGTCGGACTTCCGTGGCACATACTCGATTTCAATGTTGTGCTTTGTGTTGCCTTTCCCCCGGCTCCACAGGAAGAGGAGCACCAGACAGAAGAGCACGACGCCCAGGAAGGAAATGAAGCCCATGGTGGTGGCGATGATGAGAGTCTTGATGTCAAAGGGGAAAGGCACGGTGGCGCGCGTGCTGTTGGCATCGCTCTCGTTGGGCTGGTTGGAGATGAACGCGAAGGTCTTGTTGGGCTGGTGGGGCCAGTCTGGGGAGTAGCTGCGCACGTGCAGGTGGGCCAGCATGGTGTCGTTGCCACCCGCGTTGCTGGCGATGCATAGGTAGGTGCCATTGTCCTGGATCTGGGCGTAGCGCACCTCCAGCGTGCCGTCAGGGAAGACAGTGAGCCGCCCGTTGGTTTTGGTTGAGATGAGGTGCTTGCGGGGAGACAGCCACATGATGGTGGGAGGCGGGTCCCCATCTGCCCGGCAGACAAAGTGGACTGTGTGGCCTTCGTCCACAAAGATCTGCTGAGGTTTGCGGTCCCGTATCCGTGCTCGGCGGCAGGTGAAGTAGTTGGGCAGGAGGACGTCAGGGAAGTCTTTGAACTCCTTGCCCTGGACGAACTCGGGGGTGGAGCAAGTGGGCTGCTGCTTGTTGAAGTTCAACCTCCATCGCCGCCGGAAAACCCAGAGCAAGCGGCAGTCGCAGGCTAAGGGGTTGTTGTCGAGGATGAGCGTCTCCAGGTTGCCCACGGAGTGGAAAGCTGACTCCTCCAGGGTGGTCAGCAAATTCCCTGACACGTTCAGGATGCGCAGGTAGTTGAGGCCGCGGAAGGCGAAGGGCTCGACCGTGGTGAGCTGCCCTCCCACCAGCTGGATCTCCTGCAGCCTGAGCAGGTCATGGAGCATGGAGCCCTCGATGGTGACAATGGGGTTGTAGGACAGGTTCAGGAACCGGAGGTAAACCAAGTGCCTCACCGACACGTACGGGATGGACGTCAGGTTGCAGTGGGTGATGGACAAGGAGGTCAGGTTCAACCCGTAGAGGCAGTTGGATGTCATGGTATCCAGGTAGGGCCAGTGGGAGATCTCAAGGACCTTGAGCCGGTACAGCCTCTTGAATGAGTAATCCCGGATGGTGTTGATGTTCAGATGGCGCAGGCGCAGCACAATCAAGCCGTGAAGGTGAGACAGGGCCTCCGTGGGGATGGAGGTCAGGTTGCATTTCTCCAGGGTCAGCTGCTCCAGGCTGTTGAGGCCGCTGAACGCCCGGTGGGAGATGTAGACAAGGTCGTTGTCCCCCACCTCCAAAGACTTGAGGTTGTACAAGTCCTGGAACATGTAGTCTAGCAGGATCACAATTTTATTCTCACTAATGTCTAGCTTGGTAAGGTTGCTGAGTCCAGTAAACACCCCCAAGGGGATCAGCTTGAGCCTGTTACTCCTGAGCCCCAGCGTCCTGAGGTTGAAGAGGTTGTTGAAAGCCCCAGGTTCAATGGCACTGATAATGTTCTCATTTAGCTCCAGCTCCTCCAGGTGAGGGTAGTTGGCAAATTCATCCTGGTTGAGCGTCTTGATGCGGTTCTTGCCCAAGTCCAGCTGCCTGGTCTCGGTGGGGATCCCCTCCGGCACGACCATGAACCTCTTCCTGTGGCACAGGACGGCGCGCTCCTGGGCAGAGCACTCGCAGCGCGGCGGGCAGCCCGTGGCGGAGCCGGACAGGATGGATCCCAGCATCAGGAGGAGAATCGGCTGCCAGCAGGCCAGGAGTGGGCTGCGCATACTCGCCTCTCCAGCTACCATCCTATCTCTCACCTGCAGGTAACAAGGGGGAGAGAAAGAGCAAGGGGGACGTGAGTGAATGATGGGCACCACCACAGCAAAAGGTTTAGTCTGGGGAGAGCTGGCACTAAGGTGAAGGGCACTGCCGAGGCAGAGCAGAGGTTCTCATTTCCCAGCCGAAATCCAGCCCAAGACCATTTCTCCTCCCCACCCCCCAACTTTCCACTTGATGAGTGAACGTGCGCAGACTTTGAGTGGAAAGCCTTGAGGAATCTGTGTCAGACAGACCTCGCTTCCTCGGCTTCTTAAGGAAAATAATTTAATACTAAACACATCTATCTACAGCCTATTTTAAGCCCTTGAAATTATTCCGTTCCCTGTAGATGGAGCCTGAATATAAAGGCTGCTTTGCAAAGGCAGAGGAGCTGAGCACAGGGTCGAGCATCTGGGGGATCCCTCCTTGGGATCAGCCAGTAGTGAGGTGTCTGAGTGGGAGCAACCACAGCTCCACAGGAATCAGCCCGATAGGGTCTGGGGGTGAATAAGGGGGTCTGTGGGGTGGTGAGGGGTCTGTGGCTGATGAGGTCTGCAGGGTGATGAGGGGCTCTGCCTGCTCTCAGCTGGGAAAGGCCCTGGGAGGGCTGGGTGACCCCCTCGTGGTCATGCTGCCTCTGTTACATTTATTTCCTCATTGCTCGAGCTGTTACAAGGGATCAAATCATATTAATATTGCATGTTAGATGTACAGCTGCTCCGGCCCGTGTTTATATCTATTGTTATGTGTGCACTCTGCGTTGCTTCAACTAATGCTATTTACGGCTATAGCTGAATATACTCAACACATTACTTCCATTGGCTCTGTTTGTATCCATCATTATATCCTGTACATTACTTTCCCTGCTCCGGCACTATTTATGGGTCTGGTACATATTCTGTGCATTACCTCCATTGCGTCCCTTTACATCCATCATTTCCTACAGACAGATGACTCAAGTCTAACTTTTGTTCCCCAAAAACGATGCAAAATTTCTTTGCGAGATGCAAGGATAAAGATGATGGACTGGCCATAAACATGTTCCCCAGCACCACCTCGGAAACCACCAGGCCTTGGCACACCAGGAGTCCCCGCAGAACTCCTCCCGCAGCTTCCTCCAGGTTCACCATCCTTCTCCATCCCTTCCCCTGCTACCTGCCTAATGGGGGTGGTAGTGGGGGACCCCCAAAGCAGGTCTGTGGGACCAGGACCACTCTCCTGGCAGTGGTGCCGAGCTCCTTCCTGTCCATCCTGGTCCAGTGCCTCCCAGTCCCATGGAAACATTTCCAGTGGGATGGCTCGGGCTTGAGGCCAGGCTGCAAAGAGCCATTTGCTGGGTATTTACAATTCATCATCTCCTGTGTCATCACCTCCCCAGTGCTGATGCTGCTGGGCAGCTTTACGAACACAAACAGGGCTGCTGCTACTGTGGTGATGCCACTGGGGTAGGCTGGGGCCTGGATGGCACCACCAGTTAGGATCATGGAATCAACTGGGTTGGAAAAGACCTCTAACCTCCTCCAGTCCAACCGCTCCCCAGCACTGCCAAGGCCACCACTAACCCATGGCACTGAGCCTCGTCTCCACAGTGTGTGAACACTTGCAGGGATGGGGGCTGCAGCCCTGCCCTGGGCAGCCTGTTCCAATGCCTGAGCACCCTCTGGGGTAGAAACTGTTCCCAATATCAAGCCTAAACCTCCCCTGGTGCAGCTTGAGGCCGTTTCCTCTTGTCCCATCCCTTGTTCCTTGGGAGCAGAGCCCAGCCCCTCCTGGCTCCATCCTCCTGTCAGGCAGTTGCAGGGAGCGATCAGGTCCCCCCTGAGCCTTCTCTTCTCCAGACTGAACCCCCCAGGTCCCTCAGCCGTTCCCCATCACACTTGTGCTCCAGGTTGGCAGCTCTTGCACAACTGTGCGCATGGGTTTGCTCCCCATGTGCTGCCGGAGGTCCCCTGTTCCACCTCACCATGTCTCCCCATGGGCAGCATGTGGCCCCCTCCTCCTGCCCATGATGTGCCCGTGGCACTGCTGCTTCCACATCCCACTTGCCACTCACAGCATCCCTCGGGCAGTGGTTCTAGAAACCAATTCTTGCTCCTCACAGCCGTGCTGAGAAAGCCATCAAAGCAAGCACAACGCTACATGCAAAACAAAATACAGTCAAAGGGGCTTAATTATCCCAGGGTTGCAAAGACTTCAGCTCATTAGAGTGCCAGGCAGTCGGCCTTATTTGGCTGTGTGCTGCAATCTCTGCTCTGCCCATGCGTGCAGCCACGCACTGGTCCCTGCTGGGCCACGTCCACTGCAGGGCCCAACTCACAGACCTCCCCCAGGCCAAATCCTGCCTGTACCAGCAGAGGGGCAGCAGCTGGAGCTGCTGGGAAAGATGTGGTGTCGTGGCTAAAATATAAGCAAGGAGGTGATAGATGAAGGAAGCAAAATCTGCATGGTGTTAAAGTGGAGACAAGCCTACTTGTGTGAAATGAAAGGCTAGGCACACCTCACATGTTATTAGTTCTCAGCTAAATTTAAATCCGTGATAAATACTATCCCTGATAAAAACATCTGTAATCTTAATAGCCAGAGTCACAGATGAGCTTTGGATGTAAGACAATGAATAAGCTGAAAAATTCTGAGCTAAGATGAGCTTTAAATCACTTTTGGGTCTCATTTACCTCTGCTGTTTCAGAGAGGATATCTGTGCCTCAAGGTGAGGCAGATATTAAGAGATGCCCTTCTAAAACCAACGCGAATGGTGACTTTTGTGTGAGCTGGGGTCAACCACCTGCATGTGGCTTTACAGGGACTGTCATGCTGACCCCCACCAGCACAGCAGCCAACTTCACCCCAAAGGGAGGGCTCCTTTCAGCTATCCCATGTCTGCCACCACATCGTGCTGGGTGAGGGGCTGAGGCTGCCTTGGATGGGCTTGGCTGACTGGGGCTGGTGTCACTGCAGGGAGCAGGGAGACCATGGTGGCTGCAGGAACC